CAAGATAAGGGACAGGTTTACTTGTCCTTGTCTTGGATGTGGTGAAATTGGTCACCACAGATTAGTCAGTAAGCATAAGTAAGCCCATGCTTACCTTGCTTACTGGGTAATCTGCCCCTCCCAGAACTGGTTTTAAATGTAGGCTTCTCTGATTTCAAAATCTCTGCTCTTAGCCACTTTGCTATGTACAGATGTGTGCTTTCAGCTGAGAGTTTCATCCATTGAAGGTTCCACCCTAGATCCATGTGGCTTATGTGAGGATTTTACAACAGATTTTCTGTTTGGAGAATTCTGATTTTTCAGAGGGTTAACATGACTTCTCATGAAAGAGGTGCAAAATGGGTAAGAAGGTTTAGCGTTTATTTATGTGTGAGTTATCGTGGGTGTTATCCTAAAATTTACCTGTCTTTTCTCATGCAGACATGATGGATGAATGAGACAGAAGAAAGATTAAATACTAACTATTGAAAATAAAAATGAACTTTAAAAAATGATCTATTTCATGGATACCAATGTAGATTCCATCTGTTAAAATATGCATTTGAGTCACATTTCACAAATTTAAAAGCAGATATTTCCTTTCCTTTTTGAAGGGCATGGTAGAAATTTTTAATATGTGATATTTTCGTGAAGGTCTCGTTTTCTTTGCTATGTTACTGTATGTATTCTTGTAGAGTAGATTTTCTAAAATTATATATCCTTCTCAATTTAACACAAAATTACTTTATATCTGCACCTGGCACTTAAATTTTGATTTAAAAGAAAGCTGTAGAGTTGTATTGGCATATTGCAACTCACCAACTGTGATACTGCTGCCGAAATTCAAGCAGCATTTGTTCATGAAATAGTCCAGATTTCATAATACTTGTGTTTTCTAAAAATGCTAGAGCTCATTATTGAAACTAATAATACATAAGCTTTTCCATCATTGTGGCATTTAAAGACTCATTCTTTGTAATTTTCAATCTCCGTTTTAAGTTTGCAGAAAGGACTTGATTCTTGAGAGAACACATCATTGTGAAAAGTTAATAACAAAACTAGAATTTCATTTGCTTCCAGTTAAGTGCCAAAATGTTGAAACTTAATATCTTCAAAATGCATATTAAAACATATGCTTTTTGAGAAGTCTGATGATATTAAAGTCAAGCGTAGAGATTCAACATACCCAGGAGCCACTTGAAATAGATATTGTTACCTTATCAGGGTTACAAGGGTACCTTGACTTTTAGTTATCTTTCCCAAGTAATTGAAAATTTAAAATTGGGTGGTACTAGAGGAATACCTGGTGCAGTGCTTAAGAGCTCTGCTGCTAACCAAAAGGTCGGCAGTTCAAATCCACCAGCTGCTCCTTGGAAACCCTATAGGGCAGTTCTACTCTGTCTTATAAAGGTCCCTATGAGTCAGAATTGACTCAATGGCAGTGGGTTTAGAGGAATAAGTAGTCTAGTACGGGTTCGTCAAACTGATCTGTTGGACCAAATTTGGCTCGCCATCTGCTTTTGTAAACAAAGTTTTATTTAAGCAAAGCCATGCTCATTTAGTTTTGTTTTGTCTCTGTGGCTGCTTTTGTAAAGATCATGGCCTAGAAAGCCTTATGGGGCAGTTCTGCTGTCACATGGGGTCGTTATGAGTCGAAAATCAACTCTGCAGCACCTAACAACAACACACCATGGTTGCTTTCATGCAGCAAGGGTAGAGTCCATATGGTCCGTATGGTCTGTAAAGCCAAAAATATTTATTATCTAGCCCTTTTCAGAAAAAGTTTGCCCACCCCTCTTCTAGTGGAATGTCTGTACTACTAATACAGGGAGGTCCTTGTCAGTTAATGTCAGATAAACAGGATAATTTTATTACTGAATTTTTTGTAACTTATGGATTTCTTTCCGTGCTTATGTTGGCTTATTACAAGGTTAAGTGGTCCAACTATTTATCCTACTTTGGTTTCTTCTACCACTCTACCTCCCTCGAGATTATTTAATCAGCTAATTATATATTATGTTGCAGCAGGCTTCTGAACTTTCTGCTCGTCTACATGTCTCTATAACCTTATGATGGTTTTCTTTTTGTCTTATGAGCTGATTGACGATATGTAAATATTCATGGAAATCATGTTTGTTCAAAATGACAAAACTGTCTATGAACAGACATTCCACTAGAATAGGGGTGGGCAAACTTTTTCTGAAAAGGGCTAGATAATAAATATTTTTGGCTTTACAGACCATATGGACTCTACCCTTGCTACATGAAAGCAACCATGGTATGTTGTTGTTAGGTGTTGCAGAGTGGATTGATAAGGGTATTGGCATTTAAAAAAAAATTGGTTTGGAAGGAGAAGAGGCGGTTTGTTTTGGGTTTAGCCAAGCTTCTTCTTTCCTTGTAAGGCTAAGGTTAGCTGCCAGCTAACCTTATGACCAAGGGGATAGTTGTTGTTCCTTATAACTTAATTATTATTTGGGATTTTTAGGACGTGCTGCCACTGCATTAGTTACAAGAAGCAATGGAATGAGTTTATTTTTATCGTATTTCACAAAAATGTTTTAATATTTTATTTTTAAATAATTTATTTCAGAAAAGTTACATGAATAGCACAGAAACTCCCATATATCCAGCACCACTATGCTATTAGCTAACCTGTGGACTTTATTTGAATTTTGCCCAGTTACCCGCTAATGCCTTTTTCTGGTCCAGGATCCAGTCAAGGATCTCACATTGCATTTCATCTTCATGCTGTCATTTTTCTTAGTCTTCTCCAATCTCAACAGTTTCCTCAGTCTTTCTTTGACTTTCATGACCTTGACACTATTAAAGAACGTTAGCCAGTTATTGTGTAGAAGGTCTCTTAGTATGGGTTTGCCTGTTGTTTTCTCATGATTAGATTGAACCTGTGCATTTTTGGCAAGAATGCCACAGAAGTAATGTTATCTACTTCTCTGTGCATTGTATCAGAGGGTACATGGTGTTGATCGGCCTTGTCACTGGTGATGCCAACCTTGGTTAAAGTGGTGTCGGCCAGGTTTCTCCACTACAAAGGTACTATTTTTTCCCTTTTAATTAAAAAAAATTTTAGTAGAAAATACTTTGAGATATATACTTTTTTTTAAAAAAAATCATATTTTTACCCACTACTTTAACATCCATTGGTAGATCTTGCCTGTAATAGTTATTACTGTGGTGATTGCCCAGTGGTGATTTTCTATTTCCATAAATTCTGCTATACCTACTAACTGGGATGCTACATACAGTAAGGAAGCACTATCCTTTTCCCACCATTTATTTCTTCAGTAATTTATTTATATTTATTATGATTTATTTATATTTATTATGGATTCAAGGATGTATGTGGTTTATAATTTGGGATATAATCCAATATTAACATCATTTATTTTGTTTACAAATTGTCCTAGCTTTGGCCATTCAGAGCTCCTTAAAGTTGTCTCCTGTTTCCTTTTGATATTCCTCCACTACCTTTGAATACTTTCTTACTATTTTCTGTACTGACAGCACAAGGTGTTCCAGGATTATCGTGTATTTTCCCTACCCCCAGCCCCACAATCACTGCTTTTCCAAGGACCCCTGGTTTATCTAATGGATAATGGTATTAGAAACCAAGATCTGGGCACTAGGTGTGCTCATTGTTACTGGTGTCTTTCATCGCTTCTAGAGCCTAGCGGACAGAGCTCAGAAGTATATACTTGAATACTCACACATGTATTAATTAGTCTCTCTCTCTCTCCCCTTCTTTCTCCCCCCCCTTCGCTTCTCTGTTTCCCTCCTTTCCTAAGTACTTATAAAAGCCGTAAGTTCATATGATGCCTCTGATTCCAATCTAACACTATAGAGTTTATTCTAGCTTTTCCTTATTTGTAACTTCTATTTCTGATAGTGAGAAACTTGGCTCTCATTATTCAGACTATTTTGTTCATCCAGTCCTGGTATATTTATGAAGTAGCATGAGAATTACTAAACCATACACTTAAGAGAAAGATTTACTAACTAGAGTACAATGTTTGTATGACAGTTGTTTTGGTCTTTATCCTTATATTAAACAGTGAAAATACAGTTTATTTACTTTTTGAGTATTTGCATCATTGATAATGGTTCTGAGAGTGAGAGTATACAAAACATACCCATAAAATTTATCACTTCCTATCATCCTTACTGTCTCTTTCCCATTTCCTCTTTCAACTCTATTTCCACTTCCTACAGAAAACAAATCTCATTACTTTCTTTTTTATTCTTCCTATACCCCCGTGGTGTGGTGGTTAAGAGTTCAGCTGCTAACCAGAAGGTCAGCAGTTCAAATCCACCAGGTGCTCCTTGGAAACCTATGGGGCAGTTCTACTCTACCCTATAGGGTCACTATGAGTCAGAATGGAATCGACAGCAATGAATTTGGTTTTGTTTCGGTTTTTTATATTTCTTATAGAGCCCTGGTGGTGAAGTGGTTAAGAGCTCAGGCTGTTAACCAAAAGCTTGACAGTTCAGATTCACCAGCTGCTCCTTGGAAACCCTATGGGGTAGTTCTACTCTCTCCTATAGGGTCGCTATGAGTCGAAATCAACTCGACTGCGCACACAACATATTTCTTATGCACAAACAAGTAGATACTATATAGTTTTTAATATTCCATTTCCCCTATATCAAAGATAGCTTACTATGCATACGTTTGCATTTTTCTTTTTCCACTTAACAATATATTCTATATTTTTAAAAAAGACATAAGTCCACTCCCTCCCTTTCTACTTTGTGATAGAAAAGTGTTATTATTTTTCACCTTTAGAATATTAGATATGAAATGTACAACTTAGAAATGTAAAAGTAAAGCATCAAAATTCAAGGAAAGACTATTTCTTTGAAGTTTTGATTCCTAAAACTTATTATTTCTGGGTGCATAAATATTAATATTTTTCCCCTGTATATTTGCAAAAAATGTAGTACAAGTTTTTGGTAGTAATTTAAATGCCTTTATTTATAAATGTCTTTTTACTTTTCATTTGCAGCTGGTAGCTGTGTTTGATGAGCAAGATCCACATCATGGAGGTGATGGCACCAGTGCCAGCTCCACTGGCACCCAGAGTCCAGAAGTATTTGGCAGTGAGCTTGGCACCAACAATGTTTCAGCCTTTCAGCCTTATCAAGCAACAAGTGAAATTGAGGTCACACCTTCCGTCCTTCGTGCAAGTAAGTGAAAGCGCGTTCTTTTCTGTGCATTTCATCTTAATTTACAGGGTTGTCAACTTTTGTTATCTTTCCTTGCTATTGTGAATGGAATTCATTATCTATTTTTATCAAACACTGATTAAGTCCAGAACCTGGGCAAATGTCTTTTGCAAGGGAAGCGAGCATTATTCTTTACTTTTTAATAGATGGGGCTTACTTTAGTTTGAACTGGTAGGCTTTTAATTGCTTCCAAAAGCAAATAAGGATATTAAAGTTAAATTACTTGGAATTTTCTTTCCATATATTTTGCCTTAATGCTAGAACAAATAGGAATAATTAAGGAACTTCATATTACAAAAAAGCATAGCATCATTGATTGACAATCAACTCAGTTAAGATCAATACTTCTATTACTTGAACTTTATCTAAAGCGCAGTGAAAGAAGAGACTTCATAGCCAAATTTATCTTCAGGGATCTGGAAGAGCTGCCATCAGAATGTTACCTCTAGGCAAGACTAGTCTTGGGACATAGTGCATCAGTATTTGGAACCCTAGGACCCAGCATACCCAGGTTCTGGGACACTTACTTGAAGAATCACTTCTGAATTATTCTTCCAGCCATTCCCAGAAGATTTACACAAAACAGTGTGGAAGTTTTGCTAAAAATAATATTTAGTCATTATAATCTTATAACTGAACAATTGTTAAGAAGGTTCATATCAAGAAATGTGTAAGTTTAAAGATCATTTATCTTTTAGGCATATCTGTTTGGAAACATTACAGTTGTTCAAGTGGAAAGTTTGATCTTGTGTTGTTTTACTGATAGTTTTCAGTGGAAAACTTCATATATAGATGGACAATAATATGTAATATAGACTTCTTGTTGTTGTGTGCCCTCAAGTTGATTCTGACTCTTGGCGACCCCGTAGGACAGAGTAGAACTGCCCCATAGGGTTTCTTAGGCTGTAATCTTTATGAGAGCAGATTTCCAGGTCCTTTCTCCTGTGGAGCAGCTGGTGGGTTCAAAGCACCGACCTTTGGTTAGCAGCTGAGTGTAACCATTGTGCCACCAGGGCTCCTTAATATAGACATAGATAATAATATTTAGAATACATAGTTTATTATTCTTAAATGCATCTTTATTCCCATATTTTGCATTGGTAGGAACCTGCATTTTGGCAATTTGCCTATAGATGTTTAGAAACAACTTCTGATTCCACTGTCTGTTGATGGCATATATACAGAAAACAAGGAAAGAATGTTGGATTTAACAGTTAGCAAACGTGATGATTAGAAATCACAGGAACAGTATGCCACAGAGTGGTGTAGAGAATTTAGAAGATGCATTTTACAATAGGATATATAGATGATGCCCTCGAGGATCATGTATGGGTGCAAACCAATTATTAATCACTCACTAGAATTGTTTTCTATCATGTGGGCAAAAAGCAATCATAAGTGCAGCCCAGTATAAGTACAAAGATTTCCAGGGACACTTAGAGTGGAACCGCCAGTATAATGTGATTTAGTTGAACATTTCTTTTAATATGCAGGAGATTTAGGTTTGTTTGTGTACATGTACAAATAAATTGTTTAGAAATAATATTTGATTAATACATGGATATGCTATTTAAAGAAATCTTATGTTAGATTTATGTCAAGCAGGGTTTTCAGAAAGGGGGGGGCACGTGTTATTCATGGTATTCAAGATAATATGCAGGTGGTACACAGATAACTATTTTCTTTTATTACATATGAGCCCATCAAACCCATGATTCAGTGGATATCTGTTTGGAATGAGCCTATATTTCAGAAGTGGGTTGTTTAAATTTGACTTAGAGCACACTTTAATTAAATAATAGTAAGTTTTCCGGTGCCTGAAGTTTGGAAATCAATGTCTATATGAGTAATTAGATCCTAATGTATATACTTAAATCCAAAATGTTTTGTTGTTATTGCTGTAGTTTTTCATTTTTGTGTTTTATGTTGTAGTTTTTTATTCTTGTGTTTTATAAAGCAGGGTGTACCTTTAATTTGGCTGTACCTTAAAAATAGTTGGAGGAAAATTAAAGCATGTTGTTAAATTAAGAAAAATCTGAATGGCATGCTTGCTATCAATTTTTGTCTTATGACTTCTCTGCTTTGATTTTTACATGTTGAACTTGCTTATGGCCTTGACAATTACTGGGTAATTACATGTTGAGCATCTACTATATACTGGGTGCAGTGATTATGTAGAAGTTACTTATTACATATAAATCATCTATTTTTTAAGATGATTTTTTTATATTGTCTAAATACCCCTCATTTAAACATAAAATAAGAGCTGCTATCTGTGCTGGCCAGGCATTTTGCGAGGTGATAGGAATCTAGAGTTAAGGTAATAAGCCACAGTTCTTCCCATCAAGGCGTTTATGGTCAGTGGTCTTCCTTATCTATTATTGATGTATGTCATCGAGTTGATTCCAACTCACAGTGACCCTACATGACAGAGTAGAAGTGCCCCATAGGGTTTCCTAGGCTGTAAATCTTTATAGAAGCAGATTGCCCATGGGACAACTGGTGGGTTCGAACTACCAACTTTTCAGGGAGCAGCCGAACGCTTAACTGTTGCACCACCAGGGCTCCTTCTTACTTATCTAGAGATGTGAAAATAAAGAAACTAACTATATATGTGGAGATTTGCTCAAAGGAATAATCATCTATAGTTATGGCATGGTTGATAAAGGCTTTACTGGTAAATAAACTCCTCACACATTCACGTTTTCCTGTGAATGCATCATTCACACCCTTTGTTCTATAAAGAATTGATGAAAGCTTAGAAAAGGACATACAGTACAATTTATTTTCAATAAAAAAGTGGCTATTAAGTTTAGATATTAGGATAAAGCTGTTGTTGTTGCTGTTGGGTGCTATTGAGTAGATTTTAACGCATAGCGACCGTGTGTTAGAGTGGAACTGCTGATAGGGTTTTCTTGGCTGTAATCTTTACAGAAGCAGATCACCAGCTCTTTCTCCTGCAGAGCTGTTGGGTGGGTTCGAACCGTCAACATTTTCATTAGCAGCAGAGCACTTTACATAGAATTCATATCTTGAGGTCGTCTTATGCTTTCTAAGAAGTTACCACTAATTTGGTCCTGAGCTTTCTTATAGCACATACAGAGAGAGAATTTTTAATTCATTAAATCAGTGGTTCTCAACTGCAGGGGGGTGGGGGGAGGATTTTTTTTTTTTTCCCCCATACAAAAATTTATACATCATTGTTACGTGACTCTAATTGCTCTCCCCATACTGTGACAGCACACTCCTCCTTTCCACCCCAATTCCTCAAGTCCGTTCAACCCACTCCTAACCCTCTCTGCCTTCTCATTTCACCTCTGGACAGAAGCTGCCCGTTTAGTCTCTTGTATCTACTTGAGCTAGGAGGCACGCTCCTCACGAGTATCACTTTTATGTCCCACCGTCCAGTCTAACCCCTGTCTGAAGAGTTGACCTCGAAAATTGTTTTAGTTCTGGACTGATAGAGAATCCAGGGGCCATGCTTTCTGGGGTACCTCCAGTCTCAGCCAGACCATTTAAGTCTGGTCTTCTTAGTAGAATTTGAATTCTGCACCCCACCTTTCACCTGCTCCATCCGGGACTTTCTGTTGTGTTCCCTGTCAGGGCGGTCATTGGTCGTAGCCAGGCACGATCTGGTTCTTCTGCTCTCAGGCTGATGAAGTCTCTGGTTTATGTGGCCCTTTCTGTCTCTTGGGCTACTATTTTCCTTGTGTCTTTGGTGTTCTTCATCCATGGGGGAGATTATTTTTCCCCCAAGGGACATTTGCCAGTGTCTGGAAACATTTTTGGTTGCCCCACCTGGCCTGAATGGGGGTTGCTACTTGCATCTAGTGTGTAGAGCCTAGAGATTGCTGCTAAGCATCCTGCAGTTCAGAGGACAGTCCCCACAACAAAAAGTTATCCAGCCCAAAAAGTCAGTAGTGCCAAGCTTGAGAGACTTTTAGGGTCAAAACAGCATACACCTAAGAGAAGCTGAAACCAAAACTTGAGAGAAATTTTTGTGAGTTCTCATAAAGGGAACCCTGTCCAGTACATTCAACAATACCCTCAATCTTACCTTTCAGACAAAGGGCAAAGAAGTGATTCCTCGCTAATAACAGCATTGCTCATAGTAGGTAACCAATAGCAATAAAAATTGAGAGGACTAAAGGTAGCATTACCCAAAAATAATAGTATAAATAATCATTAGAACAAAAATATAAACTTTCCTACTACCAAGAAGTGTGATTTAAAAACATGAGAAAGTAAGTAAATAAAATAGACCACATAGTGAAAAACTATTTGTATAAATGCTGCTTATGTTTAAAAAAATAAAATAAAATTGGATAATCATCAAAAATAGGTACCTGTGGTGAAAGGAAAAATAGCATGGAGGAAATGGAATAGAAGTTAGACTTACAATACCTTGTTTTGTAGATTTAATGCTGGGACCGTATTATATTCTGAATAATTATACAACAAAATCAAAGTTTAAAAATTACATATCCAGTTGGTGGCACGAACTTACCAAGAGTAACTATCTCAAGTGACTTTAACACAGTCATTTTACTTTACAACTGAAGGGAGATATAGCCCAAGGGAAAAAAGAGCTGCTAAATGTACAAGAACCCTAAAACTGTTAGTTGTTGGTGATATTGGTATTGTGAATCCTAGAGTGATGGGTGCATAATGTGGGATGGGAAAAACAGAAACAAAAACCAAACCTGTTGCCATTGAGTCTATTCCGACTCATAACGACCCTATAGGACAGAGTAGAGTTGCCCCATAGGGTTTCCAGGGAGTGTTTGGTGGATTCGAACTGCTGACCTTTTGATTAGCAGATGTAGCTCTTAACCACTATGCCACCAGGGTTTCCAATGTGGGATGAGGCAAGTGAGGAATTACGATATTCTTATTCTGTCATTCCTGGTGTCATTGAAGTGTGGAAGTAAAGGGATGCAGATGTATATTAGAGGAAAGTA